TGGTAGTAATAGTAGTGGTGGCAGTCGTAGTAGTAGTAGTAGTAGTAGTAGTAGTAGTAGTAGTAGTAGTAGTAGTAGTAGTAGTAGTTAGTAGTAGTAGTAGTAGTAGTAGTCGTAGTAGTAGTAGTAGTAGTAGTAGTAGTAGTAGTAGTAGTAGTAGTAGTAGTAGTAGTAGTAGTAGTAGTAGTAGTAGTAGTACTAGTAGTAGTGGTGGTGGTAGTGGTAGTCGTAGTCGTAGTCGTAGTCGTAGTAGTAGTCGTCGTCGTCGTCGTCGTAGTAGTAGTAGTAGTAGTAGGAGGAGGAGGAGGAGGAGGAGGAGGAGGAGGATGAGGACGAGGAGAAGGATGGGAGCAAGCGGAGAAGCATGGGGATGAGGGCAGAGGAGCAGATGGATCGGGACACTGACCAGGAGAAGGATGAGGAGGAGGAGGATGCGGAGGAGGAGGTGGAGGAGGAGGAGGTGGAGGAGGAGGAGGGGTATCTGTAGCCATTTGGGCTCAAGCGGCAGTTGCCTTGCTTTCAGCGAGGGTTTCATATTCCTTCGACATATCCCATGCCTCGACGTGGCATTGCTGTTAGACATGGTGCGGCGGTGGCCTGGGCTGCGTCGGTGGGAGAGGCCGCCGATCTGATGACGGCCATCACTGAGCGGGCGGTCTGATCTGCCAAAGTCTCTGCTGCCGCTGCCCCGCCATCTCCTGATGATCACCCTCACTTTGGCAGTGAGGCCCAGGCAGTTGTCGGCGCCGCAGCTGAGCTGTCTGTGGGAAGCAGTGCGCGGGCAACAGGTTTGGAGGCACTGCGAAAGGCTGGAAAGCCGTCCGCCTCCTCACCTCGTGCGTGATTGCCGTATCCTCGACGGCGCCTCTGCGTTGCTTCGGCACCCAGGCGCAGCACATGATGTATAGCACCGCCTCACGGATTGGTTTGCATGCAATCGTGCTGCTGAGCATACTGCTGCTGCATCGGGGTACGAGTCGGACAACAGTGCTTTGGCTTATCTTGCCACGGATAGCGACTGCCACTGCTTGGGACCCCGTGTGAAGATCGTCGAGAGTACAGCTCACGTGAAGAGGGAGGGTCCCCTGGAGGTGGTGGGTCCGGTGTCTGGGCCAATGGTGTTCGACAGGAGGACGAGTGCAGGGCTGGACATAAACGGTGTTTTGGCGATTTCGTGGGCCGTTTGCGTTTTGACTTCGTTTTGCGGTAGAGGTGGATTGAAGACAAAACGAAAACAAAAGGGAAACGAAGAACACCGTTCTGGTTCAGCCGTGGTGCCCAGTGCTCTCCATGACTGTGACTGTGGCACATCCACTGCCGCACGCAGTCAGGAGTCGTGGATGACGCATCGGTTACTGGACCGGATTGCCGTCGCCATCGTGAAGAGGGGTTCGCCCATTCAGTACAAGCCCGTCCCCGAGGAATCGGTAGTTCGGGCCACGATCATCGCCGATCTGGATTTTGGCAATGATTCCAACGCCCGAGGACCTCCTTCTGCGGTACAGAGGAGAGCCTGTTCCAGGCGGTGCGGCGGCGCCGCCGTCTCAACCAGGCTCCCGAGATTGCTCTCCATGGCTCTGGATAGTTGCCGGCTTATGGTCTCGGGGAAGCCCGAGACCCAGGCGACAATTCAGGAGCTGACGAACCTTCAAACACCCTAAACAGAGAATCGGTAGGGTCGTTTCGAGTATTACTTCGGGTGTGTGGTGCGTGGCGTTGGTGTGCATACAGGGCCCTCAGGGCTTTTCGCCGTTGAGGGTCTCCTGACCTCATTTTCCTCTCCCGTGAATCTGGATGTAGGAGCATTTTTGCGAACCTTGTCTTGCTATCCTGGAGGAGGGCAAGGGGCTGGTTGATCGGTACCGTCGCTGCCGCTTCTAGCTCGTTGGAGCATGGAAGGCGTGCTTCAAGGCAGGCCCTCGACTGGAGTGCCGCGGGCAAGCCGCCAGACGGTGGCGGGCATTTCGGGGGGCCCATCTCCTCGATCCCTTTTTCCTTATACCTCTTCTCGTTCCTCCACCACTTGTGCTGTGGCTTTGGCCAAGCCCTGTGGAGATGTCTTGGGGTGGGGGGATACGGGTGGGTAGAAGGGGTGGTTGGTGGGGAAGGGGCAACAACGACGACGACGGCAACGGCGACGACGTGCCGAGACGGCACTCGCTGTCGCCCCTCGTCCGCCCCGTCTTCGATGGCTACATTGAGGCACGGGGCATTCATCTGCCCATGGCCCTGGGTCCACGAGCGGGCGCTGGCGCTGGCCAGAAGCACATACCTCCTTCGTTTTTGTTTTTTGTTTCTTTCCTCCTCTCGGTCTTCCTTCTCGTGGGTGCCTGCGTAGTTATCTCTCTCCATACTTCTTGTCTGTCGCCGAGCTTTGTTTGGCTTTCAGACCTGTGTGCTCAATTGTGCAACTGAGGAGGAGGAAGAGGAGGAGGAAGGAGAAGAAGGATGATGATTATGCTGATTATGCTGATGATGATGATGCTGATGATGGTGACGATGGTAATTCTGATGCTGATGCTGATGCTGATGCTGATGATGATGCTGCTGATGCTGATGCTGATTATGATGATGATGACGATGCAGATGATGATGATGATGATGATGATGATGATGATGATGATGATGATGATGATGATGATGAAAAAGATGATGAAGATGAAGATGAAGATGAATCTGATGATGATGAATCTGATGATGATGATGCCGATGACGATGACGATGATGATGATGATGGTGGTGGTGGTGATGATGATGATGATGCTGATGCTGATGCTGATGATGATGATGATGATGACGATGATGCTGATGATGATGATGATGATGATGATGATGCTGATGATGATGATGATGATAATAATAATCATGATGATGATGATGATGATGATGATGATGATGATGATGATGATGATGATGATGATGATGATGATGATGATGATGATGATGATGATGGGCCAGGGTGTCGTAGGCCTGCGAGTGCATGCTGCTATTTCTGATGCGCGCGAAGGCTTTTCCTTCCCGCCCTCGCCAGTGCCCGCGCCGCGGCCGGCCCCCCCCCTCCCCTCCTGCTGGCCCTGCCTGCCCCAGTGGGCAACAAGAAGCACCACCCACTGCCCCCCGCAGGGACAACGACGTACAGATGTCTGCTGGCCGCTGGAGGTGTGTAGTTGGTTTGGGACTCTCAGGTGGCAGCCTGCTTGGAAAGCATTACCCTTTCTGCAGAAATAGCATCATGGCAACCGGCAACCACGCCTTGACAAACAACATCGCGGGCTGGCAGGCTGGGAAGGCGGGACAAACGCGCGGTCAGAGAGTGCTGACAGCAATGACGCTGGCCAACTTCGATCGGCTGCTAGGCGTCCGCCAGTGTCAGGCCAGGTCCCAGTCGCCGCACTGCCCCTTCCGTGGTCTTTTTCGGGTCAGGAGAGGCTGGCCCGATTCGGCTCAGCCTCCCGCCTCTGTGCATTTTGTATCGATACGCTTATTTTGAGGGAGAAAACCACCCAGACCCCGATAACGGGCGTTTACTAAACGGCCCTGGGCGTTTACTAAGCAGCCCTGCCCTGTTCGATTCCTTCCATGGGTGCGTTTACTAAACGGCTTTCGCTTGTCGGGTTGCTTGTTCTGGGGGTGGATTTTCTGCCCTCCATTTCTCAGACTGCCAACTGAATCATATCCCTCATGTTGTGCTCGTCTGTCTGGCCCTCCGTGGCGCTTGCCCTGCTGGGCGTCTCCGCTTTGCCACGGTGCTGGGCGCTGCAGCTCGGGACGAACGCGAGTGCAGCTGGAAGGGAAGCGGCACAGGCAGCGGCAAGGGCGGGCGCGGGGAATAGGATGTGGCTGTCGACGTGGATGGACCCCTCCAGGACCGGGTGGCTGACCATCCCTGGAGTGACAGGGGAGCTGCCCGGGAACACGACGGCGATCGTCACGCATGCCGGCAAGAACGACCAAGAGTTCATCGACATGGCCGTGATGCTGGCCATCTCTTTGAAGCGCCACGTGCCTGGATATCCCATGATTGCGCTCGGGGTCCAGGGGATGACTGCGACGAACAGGGCGACACTTACCCACGCCGGCTGGCAAGTTCTATTGGTGGAAGACTGGGGCGGGATCGACAGCATGTTTTCGGACTGCGGCCACCAGTGCGCAGACAATACTTTCCTTTATCGTTGGCAGGATGCAGTCGAGAAGCTCAACATTTAGTGACCTTCGGCCCATCCTACCACAGTGCCTGGGTCGTGGATCAGAGGCCCCCGCAGAATTCTCCTTGGGGTCTCTTGGGGTACCCTCTGGGGGCTTGTCGGAGGCCTCCTGAGCGATGTTCGGGAGCCTCTTGAGGATCTTGGGGGACTTTCGGGGCGTCTTTGGGCCTCTCGGGGGCGCCTTGGGCCTCTGGGACCGTATCGGGGGCGTCTGGGCCTCTTGAGGGCTCTTGGGGGCGCAGTACCCTTTTCGGCTCTTGCCTTCTTCCTCTCCTCCTCCTCCTCCTCCCCCTCCCGTTGTTCCGCTCCTTCGGCATGGGCGTTCTCCGGCAGTGGCCGCCGTTGCCACACGTCTTTCGTCTCAGTGACAGAGCCACAGCTGCCGCCATCGGCTGCCCAGTCAATCGATCCTCTCGGCCCTGGGGGCCCGCCGGGGGTCTCAGGGGGGCATCATGGAGGGGAGGGCCGCTGGGGCGCCCTCGAGTTCCCCCCCTCCTCTCGGGCTTCCTGAGCTGTCCAGGGCACCCTCCGCACCCGAAAAGGCGAGAATGCGAAAACGCCATGCAGGGCACGTATTTTTTTTTTGGGGGGGGGGTCAAATGTCGATGAACAAACACACAGACACAACCAATCGTCGATTCCTGGGAGAGTGTGGGAACACATGGGAAATGGAGGGGAAGACGAGAATACGAAACATATGAAGAAATATTTGGGATCCTGTGATTCTGTTTATTTATTTGTGTCCCTGGGCCCCTTCAAAAGGGTCCAGTGCCTCTTGGGCTGGCTCCTACCAAGACAGCAGGAGAGGCCCCCAAGAGAGCCTCGGGACGGGTCCCCGGGACCATCTGGCGGCATTCCGAGCCACGCCCCTAGGGCCTCGGACAACGTCAGACGACGAGGCCCAGAGTCGCCCAAGAGCGCCCGGGAGCTCTTGGGAATCTGGGTCCTGGGTCTTGGAAGGGGCATTTCGGCGGCGAGCGAGGGGGGCAAGTGAGAAGGTGAAGGCCTTCTTCGAAGGCGGCGGCCTTGCGCCTTCTGAGAAGTTTTCTGTGTCTTTGGGGAAGGCTTAGTCAACTTCTCAGAAGGCCGTGGGACTACCGAGCCTTTGAGAAGACCCGCCCCTTCTCACTTGCCCTTTGGCTTGCCGCAGAGCGTTCTCAATATTGAATATTGCGGGCTCTGAGGGGCCTGGGAACACTCCACTCCAGTGCCCACCGCACGGTGTCGGATATTTAGACTCCAGTTCGACCGCGTCCTCTACCTAGATGCGGACACGTATGTCGTTAGCGATAAGCTCAGCAGTCTGCTGAAGTCCCCCAGTTTGCCCGACGGCAACATCGGCATGGTTCGCGACGGATGCCATCATGAATACAACTCTGGTGTCATGCTGTTCCAGCCAAGCGCCACGAACTTCAGACAGATGGTGAAGATGGTGGCAGGGGCCATGACTGGCAACACGACGAAGATGCACGACCAGCCGATTATCAACCATGTTTACGAAGGCAGAATCACTGAATTGGACAAAATGTATCCCGTGGCCTTCGGCCCATCCCACCACCTTTCCTGGGATGTGTATAATCTCTCCCACCCACCCTCCTCCATTCTTTCAACCAACTTGTTATATCTCATGGAAGAGAAATCCCGGAGAGGCTTCTCCAAGGGGGGTTGTCTGGAGGGGTTGTCCTGATCCCCGCTGGATTGTCCAAGGGGTTGTCCAGGGTAGGCCGCCTTGTCGTCTTTACCCAGTAAGTGTTGTCCGGATTATCCGGGGGGTTGCCTAGAGATTCTTTTCGACTGGATTTTTTACGTTGCACATCGTATCCTTCCTTGCACATAAAAGGGGGAGGAGGGGGCGGAGGAGGCTGCAGAAGTGGCTGGAGCTTTGTCCTGTTCCTTCTGCGTTGGGGCCCAGGCTCTGGCGGGGGTTCCGCTGTAAGCTGCGGGTCACCTGGGGGAGACCAGCGACGCGTTTGGTTGGCACACGTCGGCTTGTGACTGCAATCTTGCTGTGTGCCTTGTGGAGTGTCCCTCGGTTGTTCCGGCATCCCTCCGCGAAACTTAACGCAAGTTTTCCCTGGCCGCGTGGGCACCCCCAGACCCCCAAATTTTATCTTGATGCCGAATCTCGCGACTTGATTTATTCAGTCGGCGTCCGCGGTCCGCGCCGCGCGCGCAACTGAGCATTGAAATTGGGGGCGCGGGGGGGTTGGGAAAAACTTGCGTTAAGTTTCGCGCAGGGTTGTGGGACCAAGTTGCTCTCACTTATCGGTTGTGTGGTTTTATGCTCACATGAAGGTCCTCGTTGCGTAGGGTGTCTGCGCCAGCCTCGAAACGACGTGCGCCGACGCGTGGGATCATCCAGTTGACGGTTTTCGCAGGGGGTCGTCGGTGGGTGGGTTTTCCAGTGGCTGCTGTGACGGCGAAAACCCTCGTGGTCGTCGCGGGTTTGCTGAGTTGCGGCGATCCTAGACTGTCCATCGCGGGGGCGGCGCGGCGGTTCCACTGTTCCGTCTTGGGCCCTCCTCGTCGCACGGAGCGGCTGTTGTCGCTGCCCCTACGCCCCTGAAGCCACGACTGGCCGTTGGTGTGCGCCTCCCAGGGCTGGACCTGAACGGTGTTTTGGCGATTTCGCGGGCCGTTTTCGTTTCGACTTCGTTTTGTGGCAAAGCCGGATTGAAGACAAAACGAGGGAAAATGACAACAACACGAAAACGAAAAACACCGTTTAGGTTCAGCCCTGGCGCCTCCTCCCTGAGGGACGGTCCGTTCGATCTTTCAGGTCCTTCCTCCTCGACTTCCCCCGAGGGCCCTGGAGTAAGAGGTCGTCTTCAGGTGTCCAGGCGTCGTTGTCGCGGCGTGCAGTGCCCAGCCAGACGAGGATGAGGAGGATAGGAAGGAGGACGAGGAGGCAGAGCTGGAGGAGGAGGACGAGGAGGACGAGGATGATGATGATGATGATGATGATGATGATGATGATGATGATGATGATGATGATGATGATGATGATGATGATGATGATGATGATGCTGATGATGCTGATGCTGATGATGCTGATGATGATGCTGATGCTGATGCTGATGCTGATGCTGATGCTGATGCTGATGCTGATGCTGCTGATGATGATGATGATGCTGGTGATGCTGTGATGCTGATGATGATGATGATGATGTGATGATGCTGATGCTGATGACGATGATGATGATGATGATGATGAGGAGGAGGAGGAGGATGAGGATGAGGATGAGGATGCTGATGCTGCTGATGATGATGATGATGACGACGCTGACGACGATGATGATGATGATGATGATGATGATGATGATGATGATGATGATGATGATGATGAGGATGATGAGGATGATGATGATGATGATGATGATGATGATGATGATGATGATGAGGATGATGAGGATGATGAGGATGATGATGATGATGATGATGATGATGAGGAGGAGGAGGAGGAGGAGGAGAAGGAACAGGATCTGGAGGAGGGCCTACAATTCCCAATCCTGTTTTTGGCAGTGCGGTGTGCCATAGCAGCCAGGGATGCGGCTGGGACCACTGCGCCTCGTCTGGAGCAGCAGTGTTGTGATAGCGTGTCGTGGCGTGGCCGTGCCGCTGCAAGGTTGTTGCGCTACATGCTAGGAACTTCTTGGGGACCTCTCGGGGGCCTGTTTGGGACTGCTCTGGGGTTTCTGGACTGCTCTGGTACTTTCCTTCCCCTCCCCTCTTCGCTCCTGCGTGCGCGTGCTGGCAAGAGGGAGGGCTGTACCAAAGTTGTTTTTGCCCAGGCCAGTCTGAAAAGGTGGCGAGACCGGTGAAAGCTCACTTTTTCCGTCGGCAGCGAGGCGGGACGATCCGCTCGAGCGTGGCAGCGATGCAGGGCCACTACAAAGCGAATTGGCAGGCATGCGTGAGGAGGGAAAAGGAAAGGAGGGGCGGCCGCTGGCAAAAGACTAGATCACATCATACAGATCACAGGTTTGAGATTGTCATTTGTTGTATAGGTCACCTTTGGTATCCCCGGGATGTCCAGATTCTGCCCTCGGTGCCCTTTCGCGGACGCCTTTTCTAGGGCTCTCTGGGAGCCTCCTGGAGGCTGCCAGGGGCCCTCTCAGAAATCTCGCATGCCCCTCCTGGGCCGGGGCCAGGAAGGGCCTTCTTCGGGCCCCGCTCGGGTCCCCCCCACCCCCGGCGTTTCGCTTGAGATCTCCTGACCGTTGAACATTGGCCCTGATGCTTAAACTTAAATGCTGGCAACAGTCTCACGGATGGAGGGCGGGTGGTTTTCAAAGTGCGGCTCTCGCCTCAGCGCCGCGCGCATTCTTTCTCTACACTTTGGAAGAGTTTCACGGATTGAGGGCGAGCGGTTTCCAAATTGTGGCTCTCGCCTTGGCGCCGCTTGCATTCGTTTCAAACAATTGGAAAAAGTTTCACTGATTGAGGGCGGGTCGTTTTCAATGTGTGGCTCTCGCCTCAGCGCCGCGCGCATTCGTTGTAAATCGTTACAAGAGTTTCACGGATTGAGGGCGAGTGGTTTCCAAAGTGTGGCTCTCGCCATAGCTCTGCGCGCATTCTTTTTCAAACAGTTGCAGGAATTCTAGACGCTTCGCGTATCCCCACCAGCGCTTTCTTGCGTCGCGACTTGGATTCGCCTTCAGGCCTTCCGCTGGATTTATTTCTCCAGTCAGTCCGTCTTACCCGTCAGACTCCCTGGATCGATGTCCTCGGGAACTTAAATGCTGAACGGCCTTCCGCCGTGACCCTGGATCGAAGTGGCTCTGAAGGATGCGTCTCGGGTACACGAAGGTCCCGTCCCTCGGGTGCTATCCGACTCGGTCTGGTAGCGCTGAGACACTTTGGATGTGCACACGCCACGTTGTCGACCGTGTATTGTGCACTACGGCGCCCCTCCACTCGTTGGGTCTGGGCTGACGCATCTCAGTTGTGGAAGGCTCTCCTATCACGCCCCACACCCTGGATGCGCGTTCTGGCGTCGCGACTTCGTGTCACCGCCAGAATTTCCCGCTGGACTTATGTCCCCAGTTAGTCTGTGGTACCCGTCAGGCTCCCTGGATCGTTGTCTTCGGGAATGTTCCCTTCTGTCCGCATCTGGACTTCTGGGAACGCCTCGCGCGCCATTTTGGCTGCGCTTGGTCTCCTCGGTGCCTGTCCTCAGGCTCGTTGGATGGACCGTTGCATGCCCGTCCTGGGGCTGTCTCAGTCTCCCTGGATTGCACGTCGGCTGCCGCCCTGGGCGCTGCCTCCCTCGCCGCCTGATCCGCGGCCCCCGCGCGCGCTAGGCAATTTAGCCGCGGTCGTAGCCCGCCCGCGACCTCCCGCCGCTGGCGCTTCCGCCTGCTTTTTTTGGTTCCCCCATCAGCCCGTCCAGAAACGACGCCCAGGCGAGTAGAGGGTCGTCCTGAGGGGCTTTTCGGCGTCTTGGGTGCCTCGGGGGGGCCTCTGTGGGCCGTTCGGGATCCTCTTTGGGGCCTCCTGGGGGCCTCTTGGGGCCTCTTGGGGCCATCTTGGGGCCTCTTGGGGGTCTCTTGGGGACCTCCTGGGGGCCTCTTGGGGGGCCTCCTGGGACCATCTTGGGGCCATCCTGCGGCCTCTTGGGGCATCCTGGGGGCCTCTTGCGGCCATCGTGGAGGAAATCGATCAAAGAAGAGGGGAGCCTTAATTAGCGTTGCCCCCTGAAAAGGCCAAACTGGGGCCAAAACCAAGTAGTAAAATCAATGTTTTTGGCTTCCTCGCCGAGGCCGTTTTGGACGCTCTGACCGCTCCCCGCCCCTCCTGTCCAGGTCAGTGTGGGGGGGGGGGGTAGGGGGAGGGGTAAACCCCTCCCCGAAGGGGAAGAGGGAGGGGTGGAAGAGGAAACTCGTTAAACCACCGACGCCCAGAGGGCTGGTGGGATTTAACGGATTGAGGGCGAGTGGTTTTCAAAGTGTGGTTCTCGCGTTAGTGCAACGCGCATTCGGTTCAAACAATTGGAAGAGTTTCATGTATTGAGGGCGAGTCGTTTTCCAAATGTGGCTCTCGCCTTGGCGCCGCGCGCATTCTTTTCCTACACTTGGGAAGAGCTTCACGGATTGAGGGCGGTCGGTTTTCAAGGTGTGGTTCTCGCTATGCGCCGCGCACGCTCGATTTAACAAATTGTACGAGTTTCACGGATTGAGGGGGATTCGTTTTCAAAATGTGGCTCTCGCCTTAGCGCCGCGCGCACTCGCTATAAACAGTTGTAGTAACTTCGCGGATTGAGGGCGGTTTCCGCCTTAGTTCCGCGCGCATTTTGTGTTAAACATGTTCAAGCGTTTCATTGGTCCTCACGGTTCGCGTATCAGAAACGGCGTTCTGGAGCGATTCAGGATTGTCAGGGCACAACAGTTACGTTGATTCGCGGTGTTGAAGCCCAAGGAATTTTGTTTTGGCACGATTCAGGATCCCCAGGACGTAACAGTCAGGTTAACTCGTGGCGTTGAATCCTGGTAGTGGTGTTTTGGCACGTTTCAAGATGTTCATACGGC